GATAAGGCATGCTTAAGACTAATTCACAGAAATAAGTTCGTTATGGTAAGAGCCAAAAAATATCCCTAGCAGAGTCACCATGCTGTCGCGCCCCCTTTTTCCTTCGCGGAGTCCGGGTTTCGACATTCATTGGGAACAACTCATTTCCTTTTGGGAATTGGGTGTCAGAAGAGTCGCCACCTAACGGATTAAGGTGAGTTAGGGCACCTAGAGAAATTAACTCATGTAACCAGTTTGCATTACCAGAGATTAGGTTAAGGGCGTAAAATAACCTTGAGGGGAAGGTGTTAGGCACCCCTCGCGGTCCACAACGGTGGGTCCCGGCCGAACTTAGTTATGTGAATTAGTCATTTAACAAGTAAGCGGTCTCAGCACATATTCGCAAATAAAGGTAGTTTACACAGTCTAAACACATATACAATCAAGAAAGTTTAGATGGTCTAAGCATATGTAAATTAAGGAGGTTTGAACAGTCCAAGCATACATACATAAACCAAGGAAGTTTAGGCAGTCTAAGCACACATATGTGAATTGGGAAAGGGAAGTCCTAAGTTGATTAGCCTATAGGATCAATCTGTGCAATGCCCGGTAATCCTCCTCAACTAGAGAGCTACACGTGACATTAGCGCGCAAGTCATCATATCCTTTTACTACCCATTACCCTCCACATAGTGGTTATATAAGCGAGTTTAAATAACGAACTCTATGCATACTTTACTCGTCCCTTTCTTGTGGTCCCGGAGCCCTTTAGGACCTCTATACTAAGGCAGTTCTAGACATACCTAAGGTATTTAAAAGGTAAAATCTAAGCGACAACAAAGAACACATGGGACTGTCAAATAGAAAATAATTAGGGGCTCATGTTTGCATCCACACATAATCAGAAACATAGCACGTCTTAAAACAACTGTTTTTAAAGAAATTCAGAAAGCCTTAGAACATGATATCTAGGTGAACATCACAGATACAGAATATGCAATATTTAAAGCGAAGTGGCAGAACCTTTAGTAAGCTTGCCTATTGATTTTATAGCTTGTTAAACTTGAACAATTTCATACATAAACAAAACCTTATTTCACATTTATTTAATTGCCTAAGGCTTGCCTAGGTGTGGGTCTGTATGCAGTCATAATCTAGGAATTAATTAAACAACTTGAAGTTATTTAGTCCTAGAGGCATGCTGATCTAAGTGATTAATATTACAAAACTGATTTTAGGCACGTTTACGCTAGGACGTGATATCTATGTGTTGGAATATTTTAAACCTTTCTATAGATGGTTATTTATTCAAAACAACGCAGACATAGTTTAGAGCTAATGCAAACAAAGTCCTAAATCAGGATTTCTAATGTACATAGAGATGATCATTTTTATTAAGCATGATTACAGCAGCAGTTTAATGACATGATTTCCAGGTGATAACAACCTATACAGAGTTAGAGAAAGAAGTGATGAACTTATAACATATTCCTAATATGCAAAATATAAACGTGAGTGTCCTAAGGCAGGTTTTCTAATGCAAATATTATAGACTTATGACATGTTTTAATGCAAGTAGCATAGCATATGGACCTAAAGCATGGTCTCTATCTTAGCATAAACTCAAAGCAGGATTTCTGTTGCAAATATGTATGAACTAAGCGCATGATTTCTACTATGTATCAACCTAAATCACGATATCTACCCAATTTCCCACAAACATCATATAAGAACCCTCCCTTTTTACTAATCACCCCAACATCTGTTTACAAATAATATTATTACAGATAGGATCAAATGAATTATATAAGTAAATAAAACTATACTATAGGGAGCCTAAATCAGGCCCAAAGTAAACCTGGGAATGTCAGGCCTTCAACAGAGTATCAGAAACCAAAGATCTCGCAGCTAGTAATGTGTGCCTTGGTATGTCAGAGTTCCCTAAGGACTTCAAGGATCTCGGGCAGTGCTCACACCAAGACCATTTCTCAAATGGGGATTGGTTATATGTAGTGTGGAAAGGTCAGCCCTGGTATGCCAGAGTTCAGAAGGATCTCAAGGATCCCTAAGCAGTACACATACCAGAGGGGCAGAACTTAATAATCTAGGAGTAGGGTGAGAGTGTTTGACATAGTGTTGAAAGACTTAGTAAAACAGCTTAGAGGTAAAAGGATTCAGAAGCAGTTTTTTAAAGATACTGGGAGTGACCAGTTTTTGAGAAAAATACTAGGAGTAGGTAATAGTTTTGAAATCATTTTGAGGAAAGCATACTTAACAAACAACCTAATTGATCATAGAGTACCCAGATTCACTCAACAGGTAGACTTACAAACAGAGGTGAAGGGAATTATGTAGGGTTGAAACCACATAAACAGGGAAACATTTGATACAACAAATGTACAGAACAGCTGGGATTTCTACTAAACAAGTTGGTCATGGTAACAGGCAGTTGAGACATAGAGAAAGAATGTAGCAAAAATGTGTTGAACAACATTGGACACAATCAGGACTAATTGGATGTACTAAAAAACTAAATAACTATCATAGTCATACCAAATTAAAGGGAAAGGGTAAGTGAACTAAGTAAACATGCTAGGCAGGTATCAAAGAACTAAGTGAAGTCAGACATGCTGATTACACATAAGGCATAATTTAGATATGCTTAATAACAACAAATAGAGAAACAAGTTGAGTAACTAATACAGGAATAAACATGGATGTATAAACATGGAACATATAAGGATGAGTTTCAAAATTTAACTAGAGACATACCAGTTAAAGAAAAGAATGCAGAATGTAAAAAAGGGCAGTTCTACTATCTAGCCTTGGCTTTCAGCCGGCTAGACCAACAATTAGCACAAGTAGCAAAGAAAGAAGAGAGAGTTGGAATGTATGTGTGTGTATTCTGAACAGTGTTCATGTGTTGAAGGAGCAGAATGAGAGTGTATATATAACACTTTAGGGAGTAAAATAAATAAGGTAAAAGAATCACAGTTGAATCAATTAGGAATAATTAATCAATCACAGAATCAATTCCCCTAGAGGAGATCGGAATAGACCCCTTAATTGGGGGCAATCAATTAACGGTCACAATAGGGGGTCTAATTAAGGTAAGGACTCAAAAACATTCCATGTAGGGAGTCAGTAGAAATTCCAAAACCATACTGATAACCAATTAAGGCAAGTATGATCAATTAAGGTCACAAATAAAGAAACATATAAAATTCAGCATACACTAAGTTTTACAGGACATTTAATAGGAATCAATCAGTAAAATCTTCAAGGAATACTGATTTTATAGGAAAGAGTTATTCAGATTCCCTAAATAGAAATCAATTATGTAAAACCTCACAGAAATACCGGATTTAATAAGAAACGTTGGTTTGAATCATCAATAGAGATCAATTAGGGAAAAATCCCAAAGAATACTAGATTTAACAGGGAAAACATTTGAATCCCCAGATAGAATCAGTGAGTGCAACTAATTCACAGAAATTAACATAATAGAAGAAATCAGTGTAACCATTAGAAACATCTAGGGTTCGAGCATACATACAATTATTAACCAAATACGTAAAGAGATGAACAGATTAAACATTGAAAGTAGAAAAAACGTCTTGAAGAGAAGTCTGGGAAGAACCTTAATTTGAAAACACTTAAGGTTGATTGACAGTATAGAAGTCAAAAGACCCTCAAAGAAGACAACCATGGAAACTTGAAAGCACTTCAATCATACAGAGATTCGAACAACAGAAATCAGAGAAATCAAAAACCTAAAGTAGAGTAGTGCTAAAATCGGTTAGTAGTAGAGAAGTAAAAGAACCTTAAAGAATAGCCATGGCAATTTGAAAATACTTTAGATACACACAGGTTCGACCAACAAATAACAAGAAAACAAAACCCTAATATAACACAGTGCTCAAAAATCGGTTAATCAGTAAAGAAATAAGGGAACCTTAAGGAAAAAACAATGATGAACTCAAAATCACTCCAGACCTAAAAGGATCTGGACAGATTCAAGTCCAAACATTAGGTTTTTTTGAAGAAAAGAGAAAGGGTAAAGAGAATCTGGTCTTTGAATCAGAGATTTGAGCCGTAAAACATCGATAGAAAGCAATCACATACCATAGACAGACTCTTGGAGAGTTTTGAACAAGATCTAGACTAGATTTCATTGAGGTCCTTCCACAAAATCACAAAATCGAGCAACCAGGGGAAGTAGGAGGCAAGTACAAGTCTCACACGGCCATGGAAATCCATGGATCGAATAGGAATCAAAGGGATTAGGGCTGGTTTTCAGTGGCGGCGGCTAGGGTTAAGGTTGAGTCTTAGAGAGACGGAGAGGATTAGGTATTCTAGGGCGGCTATTTTTTGAGAATGAATTACGATATGGGGTTTGTTTGGTTAAAAATGGTAAGAACAAATAAGGGTCGTTGATCTCAGAGATCAACGGCCAGGATTATGAGGGGCCTGGGTCGGGTTAGGTTTAATTGTGGTTGGGTTTGATTGGTTTGGGCCTGGTTTAATAGGCTAGGTCCGAAAAAATAAAGGAATAAAAAGGCTATTTGTTAAATACCCATTTAATTTATAAAATAATTTTATAAAATAGTTAACAATGAGAAAATAAATAATTTCCATGCATAGAAGTGCTTTAAAATAATTATTTCATATTTTACAAATATAATGGACCAATTTCTGGTAAAATAATGCAGTGATGTATGCATGGGCTATAATTTGCAAAATTATTGCAATTGCAACCAAAAGGTGTAAATCTGGTCATTTGTGAAATAATTTGAAATTAATATGGCTATAAATAACATAATTAAATCAATAAAATATTATAGAGCCATTTGTGATGCAATTTTATAATTATTTATATAAATAAAAATACCAGAATAAATTGATTTAAAAATATAGAAATTATGGAAAAATTTCAATTGATGCTAATGCACAGTTTTGAAGGTATATATGCACCTTAAAAATATTATAGGGAAAAATTGGGTATCAACATTGTCAATGCTATGGGACTCCTTGCTCTTACAAAACAACGATTAAAAATGATGAGGAAGAGTGAATTTGGATCTTTAATGGAAGATGTCTCTTCTTTTTGTGATAAACATGATACAATGATTCCAAAGATGGATGCTCGCTACTTTCGTAGGAAGCTGAAGCGTAAATCTCTTGATGTTACATATTCTCATCATTTGCGTGTCGACATTTTTTATGCCGTTATTGATTTGCAGTTTCAAGAGCTTAATCGTTGCTTTGATGTTGTGAGTACTGACTTACTCCTCGGTATGGCTAGCTTAAATCTATTTAATTCATTTGGTTATATTGATAAGAACAGAATAATGAGGTTGGCCAAATATTATCTGAATGCGTTTGATAGAAGCAAGCTTCGAGATCTCAGTTGTCAGCTTGATAGTTTTATAGTTTATGCCTGTGGTATTGACAAGAGGTTCTTTGGCTTAAAGGGGATTAGTGATCTTGCTAAAGTGTTGGTTAAGTCAGATCTGCATCAAACTTGGCCACTTATTTATTTGCTTATCAAGTTGACTCTCATTCTTCATGTTGCTACAACTTCCGTGGAATGAGATTTCTCATCCATTAACTATATCAAAAGTGAACTTCATAACAACATTGGTGATGAATTTTTAAATAGTTGTTTAGTTTGCTATGTAGAGCGTAAGATATTTGCAAATGTCAGCAATGACACTATTATTCATTGTTTTCAACATATGAAAAGTCGTCGAGCACAGTTGTGAGTTGTGACTAGGGAAGTCCTTTTTTTGTAATAATAACATATTAACATTATTATCGTGGCTCGTGGCTAGAAGACATTTTTGGTAATGACAATAGTAATCGTATTTTTCTCATTAATTTTTTTCATCGCCCCGTTCGAATAATTTGCGCTTATATTATGTGATTGATAACACCTTTATATTAAAAGAAAGTGAGCACCCACGACCTTAAAATCCTGGATCCGCTACTGGATAGAGGATCCCCATGCCTAAGCCCTAGATGGTAGGAAGGGTTCTATCCTAGTTCCATTTAGGAGAATGGATATTGAGGTTGGAGTGATGCAGGACATGATAGGCTTGATAATGCAGTCAAGTAGAGTGTAGAAAATGAGTGTGCTCTTAATGAAGGACCATTCTAGCCTATCAATGACCTTTTCAAGATCAATTTTGAGGATCATATTTGAGCCTTTTACTTTCATATTATTAAAGTAGGAGATGTATTCTTATACAATGATGGAATTGTCAGAAGATCTCTGATCCATGTCCAATCGGCACTCAATAGTGAATGGAAACGGTCTTTGGAAAAATAGTACCCAATAAGAGTCAGGGTTGATTTCCACAGGGAGTTACGATGGGTGTTAGGAGTATACACATGATGAAAGTGAATGAGATAACTAAATTTGCAATTTCACTAAAGGTTTTGATTTATAATTCTAATTTTACTCTAAAAATTGTAAGCTATGAAAAGAAACTATAAGTGAATGATTGTTTTTGGTATTTTTTCAAATAGTTAAAAAGCCTAGGGATGTGACCGTAACCTAGATGTTCGCCTAATGGTTTGAAAACGTTAATACTTATTTTTTTGATCGGGGTGTATTATAGCTCTCGACTCTAAGTTACCCAATCAATACCTCTCGGTCAAAGAAGGGTTTTGCCCAACTCGGCTTTCTCAAGTCCAAATGGGTCTCAAACAAAATAGTTGATATGAGCTCAAGTCGGGTTCTCACTATCTCCAGTTTGAACCCTTTAATTAGGCTAATCAAACTCTCAATTAACTCAATTCCTTGTTAGCTAAGTTATCTTAGACTATGTCCTTCTTTCTCAAGTAGAGACTAAGTCAAAAAGGCATGAATCAGTATTTGCAACAATTAATTCTAGAATTTAAGCATAAACTAGGCTAAATAATCAATACTCAATCATACACAAGCATTAAATTAAGTATCCATAAGGTTTACACATTAAGGTTTGGTCACAACTCTAGTAAAACTCTAGCTACTCATAGTGGGAATTGAAGAAAATAGAGAAAAAACGCTAATTAAACTCATAATCAAAGATTAAAATGGTAAAAGCTAATGTCTTAACACTAAAATAATCACAAACTTCCTAAAATGGCAAAATGTAACTACTACAGTAGCTCAAACTTCAAAACTTGACCTAAAAATATGAAACTCGTCTATTTATAGTGGCCCAAAATTCACTGACAAAAATGCCCTCGGGAGGTTTTGTGGCTGCACGATTCCATGTGTGGTCCGTAGACTTCTTTAGCTGACAGGAGCTTGGATTCTGCAGCCGCACATTTCTGGGTTGCGGCTGCAAAACATCTTCTGCGGCCGTACAATTCTTGTGCGGTCTGTACTTACGCAACGCTTTAGGACTTGGTCTTTTGCACACTCTTTGAACTTTGAATCATTTGTCAATGCAGACCCTATTCTGCAGTCGCACAATTCATATTTGGTTCGCACATTTTCAAAAAGTCATGATGGGTTCTTTCACTTGGTTTGCTACCGCAGATCTAATTCTGCGGATCACATTTCTTTGATTTTGCGCCTTTTATTGCCTTGTGATTCAGTTCACTCCTTTTTGAGTTGGATTTTATCATGGGAGACCAAACATCCAACATTCCTGCAATTTTTACATTTCCATTAGTTTTGGGAACATAAATCAATACTTTCGGACTAAAACAAAAGCAAAAAGGTACTAAGAAGTAGTCAAAATTCCCACTTATCAACTCCACCAAACTTAATTCTTTTGCTTGTCCTCAAGCAAATAAATTAGTTTCCACCTCCTAGAGTTAAAGGTCATTTCAGTGAGTCAAAGGTAAGTCATTCACACATCAGTTGGGACTAACAATTACCCACACTACTCATGAATTATCAACAAGGTGAAAAGAAATGCACATATAGTTCTAATATGACCATTGAGCTTCAATAATTGACTTTACTCATCAAGGACTCTTGTTCTATCATGTAGGTCATGGTGGACTCCAAAATCTTCCTCCTCTACTTTCCATTTGCCAAGCTCGCTTAAGAAATTAGCACTCAATCTTAGGATTCATAAAAGGTTCACTCGTCTCTCACAAGAGAATGTCACAAGTACGGCTTCAAGTACCATAGACTTGCCCCTTATGTAGATAACCACTAATATAAGCTCACTCGGTTTCAAATCCAGTAGGACTTCTTTGGAGATGTAATGAAGGCTTTTGTATTAGGATAGGATACCATATGGGTAAGTGGTTACATCTTTTCTTAAGCACTCCACACTTTCATTTCTCGGCTCACAATTGCCAATTCTTAGAGGCACCTTCTTTTCATTGAGGACTAGAGAGATTTAACATCACTATTTCTTGTTCATTTCATTCTTTTGCTCCCTTTTTGATTTCTTAACGCTTGGGATCATTACCTCTTTTTGAATCCATCAACCCTTTCGCTTATTTATGTTCTGCATTGTTTTGTTCTTTTTCTTTTTCTTGTCTTCTCTTTTCATAGAGATCTTTTCTCTTTTTTTGTGCCTTGATACATTTTTTAAATTCCTTATCTATTCCCCAAACTTATGTTTTAAGCCACTTGTTTCACAAAGAGTGTTAAAGAAAGTTCGGGTGCCAAGAGAGGGTAACGACAAAACGTGTAAAGGCTTATAACATGGTTGTCAAATGAGAAAGTCTAGAGGCTCAAAGGGCTTGTCTAGGGATACGACATTAGTTGTCAATAGAAAGCTCGAACGGGCTAAGGAAAGCCTACAATCACCTCTCAAACCAAGCAAAACTTAGAATTTCACCTTGAAACACGATTGGGGCAAGATCTAAATCATTCGTACAGACACTTGGACTAACAACAATTCATCTCATCCCTCAAATAATTAGATTGTGAAAGAGGATAGAGTTGAGAGCCTACAGTGACCACATTCAAGTTAAAGATCACTATGGTCCATTTAAACCACTCAATGATTACCAAAGTCAACTTAAAAGTTAGAAGTCACTAACTAGAGCTATTTTCTTCAAAAAAACTTGTCACTAATCATAAGTACGTAGTTAAATGTGTTGGTACCAAATGAAGCATGACTAACTCTTCGAGCATTACTTAATTAGGTCTTTTTATTCATTATTACTATTATTACCTAAATACAAAAACAGACTCATTCCCTTAAGAAGGTTGTCATGCCTTTCAACAATGGGACGAGTTGTCCGGTTCACACAATAACTACCTTTGGAAAGAACCGCGGCATTAAGAAAATCAAAGGCTTATTTCTATAAAAGCATAAAAAGAATATACTTAAGAAAACAAGAACTAATATGGAAAATATGAAGAAGCTAATAAGCAAAAACAAAGATAAAGAAGCCAATGAGCAAAAACTACTAAATATAGAATGAATATACATAATAAGAAAGAGAGAGAGAGATAAATACAAAGAAGAAAAAGAAGAATATTATCAAATTATTACAGACCAAATGCATCAAAATGTACTAGTGTATCAAATAAACTCCACCCCCCTGAATAAAAGTAAGCATTGTCTCTAATGCTTAACAAAATAAGAGTAAAAGAGGAGAGGGTGAAGAAAACTCCATATGGATCCTTGGACATCTTAGTGTCCCTAGCAACGTCAGCTACCTCAGGATCGGCCAACTGAATCTCATCGCCATCAAATCTAGGTGTGGCTATGTTGGCGAACATCTCACGTACTGCCTCATCAGTTTCAGTAGCAAGGTCTGGCTCGTCAGACTGGCCAGTCGGTGCTACCGGTATAGACGGTGCTGAAGGATCTGAGGCAAACTAGTGTAGGTCAAGCAGCATATCAAAGGTAAGGTCTTCGGCTGTAGCCAATCTGGTCACCTACTTCCGGAGCTTGTCCACTGATTTCTTACTGACCTAAGACTTCCTCATCTTTTTCACTTCCTTTCCCAGCTCTTCAATAACGAACCTGTATTGTACCAAGGTAGCCATGATCATCTTCTGGTTCTCCAAAATCTTCTTCAGTGTCTCATCAATGGTAAAATGAGCCTGAGGTGCCTGAGAAGTGGAGTGCGCTGCAATAGTACTAGACAAGTCAAACAACTTTGCAGTATTTGTCTGCATCTAGTTGTTGAGACTCGCCAATCTCTAGGAGACTTGCAACATAGATAATGGGGAAGTGGGCATGGGCAATGGACTCAAAGTAGTGGCAGGAGTTGTGGTAGAAGATGCAGATGATAGCGGAGGAATAGCTGCGGCACTGGAGGAAGGCTTAGCCGAGGTGGATGGAACATCAACTGTCTTAGAAACTACCATTGTTGGCTCATCAGACTGGCTTGTGGTGGTAGGAAGCTGAACTTTCTTCATTGGTTTGCTCGCATCCATCAGTGAGTACCAATCAAAAGGCTTCTTTGGCTTCACCTTTATGTCAAAATCTCTTGGCTCTACCTTTGCGTCAGTGGGGTACTCAGTAATAATGTTAGGATAAGGGTAGGCCAAGCTATCATGCTGTGCTATCAGTAAAATATTGGCCGACATCATGACACCCACATTGATCGGGTACTCGACCATGATGGAAGCCACAAGAACTACCCTAGGAATAAGAAGGTGAATCTCATTCTAGCTCGG